TGTATGGGTGTGTCTTGTGAGTGTATGTGAGTGAGTGTATATATGTGTGTGTGTGAGTATGTGTGAGTGTGAGTGTCTGAGTATATGTGTGTGTGGGTGTGAGTGTGTGTGTGAGTATATATGTGTGTGTATGAGTGTGTCTTGTGAGTGTATGTTTGTGTGAGTGTGTGTGTGGGTGTGAGTGTATATGTGTGTGTGTCTGTGTGAGTATGTGAGTGTGTGGGTGTGTGAGTGTGTGTGAGTGTAGAGGACCCCCGCTCGTGCCCGCCCTCGCCCCGCCCTGTGGCCTGTCCCCCATTCCCGGCATCCGCCAGGGCAGCACCGTGACTGCCGTCCTGTCTCCGGCTGCCCCCCTCCCCCCGTGGGCTGGGTCCCACCCTGGCTGGCGGTTCTGCTGTCTGGTTCCCTGCGAGCCTGTGCCCGGTGGGCTGGTGGCGCTGGCCTGCCTCCGGCCTGGACGCTGGTGGACAGACGGACTTCAGGCTGCCCTGATGCCTGAAGGAACCAAAGACCGAGGGCCGTTATCTGAGCATTCCAGAACCATCCAGGGCCAGCGGAAGCCCCCTGCCCATTCAGATGCAAACGAGCCCCTCCTCCCCTCCCCTCCCGTGATCGGGCGGGCGGCCCCAGTAATTAAGGTCCCCTCTGGCCCGGGGGACCCTGACAACAGACCCTGCCGCTGCCCCGGGACCCCCTCCCAGACTGCCGCGAAATTAAATTGAGGCCAGTTGAGCAGATATTTGGGGGCGCCCTGGGAGGAGCCGGGGAGACCCCCACCCTCGCAGGGCGAGTCTGGCCCCGGCTCCTGGACCCCCGCGGGGGAGAAGACCCTTAGCTGAGACACAGGCGAGGGGACACGTGCCCAGAGGCACCAGCACAGCCACAGGGCGCTCGGACAAGGGGGGGCATATCCCACACGTGCCTGTGTATGTGCAGATGTGTGGGTACGTGTGTGTGCATGTGTATGTGCATATGTGTATCCTCAAGCGCACGTGTGTGCATGCATGTGTACGTGTGCATGTGTGTGCATGTGTATATGCATGTCTATGCGTATGTGTGCATGCAGTGTGCATTTTATGTGTATGTGTGTTGTGTGTGTGTGTGGTGGCTGGTGCGTTGAGCACTGGGTCGGGAGCTGTTCCGAAGTGCCTCAGAGCGGGCGCCATGAGCTGCTGCTGCCGCGGGCTGTGTGGTTACTGGGGGGGCAGCGCGCGGCGTGGGTGGGCAGAGGTGGGTGCAGGGCCGCTGCCCACACGTGCCTCTCCCGCCGGGTGCCCCCTGGGTTGGCAGGGCAGCACCAAAACCAAGAGGGGCCTCCCGGCAGCCCAGCAGGCAGAAGACGGGGTGACCGGGGTCCCGGGCGAGGGAGAGGTGTGGGGCCGCGCCCGGCGGGGGGCACTCGGCGTGTCTCTGTCCCTCTGGAGCTCCTGGGGGACGAGGAGCTGGACCCTGCCGGGACACGGGGGGGGTCAGAGCCAGCCGGGCTCTGCACGCGGGGGACGCGGGGATGCCCAGTCCGGAGAGAGGGACGGATGCGGCCACAGGCGGTGACTTGGGGGTGTCTGGCCTGCAGGACGCACGGCCCAGAGGGGCTGCGGGCGGCTGCGTTGGCAGGTTCAGACCCTGCCCGAGCATCTCGGGGGTGGGTGACCTCCGGACCCTGAGGATTCGCCGCTTCCTCTCTCCCCGCGTGGGTGCTCGGCCGTCCCCCGCGCCTGCTCCCGCTTGTCCTTGCTCCAGCGAGGACAGCGCAGCCCAAGGACGTGCGGACGCCCCCCCTTCCTGCAGCCGACGGCAGTGGGGGGCTACAGCCACAGCTGGTGTTGCCGGGCTGGCAGCTGCGCTGTGACGCCAGGGAACTGGCTTGTGCCGGCAGGACAAAGGGACACAGACACTCTCCCCGCGGGGGGCCAGGACGGGCCTGGGCTCTGCCCGACGTCCCTCCTGCCCCGACCCTTGGCCCTTCCTTCCTCTTGCCCAGCCCTTGCGGCCCTGGGCTGGGGGCTCTGGCCATGGTGCTGACCACTCCTGTTTCCACCCTCAGCCCCCCACACCCGTGCCCTGTCCACCTGCGAGGGGACTCTGTGAGCTGGTTGCAGGGACAGTGAGTGACCGAGGGGGAGGAGCTTGTGACCAGGGCTGCAGTCTGGTCAGTGCCACTGGCCGCCTCGGGGAGGGTCCCCCCCCAGGAGCCCCTGATCAGTCTTGAGAGCCGTGACAGCCCGTGACCAGCCAGGCAAGAAGTGGCCACAGGCTGTTCTGTACACACGTGTACATGCATGTCTAGGAACATGTGCTTGCTGTGTGCATTTTTAGCTGCATGTGTGCACGCGTGTGTATGCAGGCATATGTGCATATACACATACACGTGCACGTGTGCACACACGTATACACACGTGTGCACATGTATGTGCACATACATGTGCGTGTCTGTACACGTGCATATACACGTGTGTGCACATGTGGCATATACATGTGAATGTGTGTGTCCAAGTGCCGGAAACTGGGCTCGGGAGAAATGGAGCGGTGGGTGACCCGGACAGTTTTGGCCCAGCCCCTGGGCTCCTTCCTGCTGACCCTCAGTCTCTGGAACATTCCTGCTCCCTCCCAGTTCTGCTAAACCCATCCCCGGCCCCTGAGTCCTGAGCCCGGGCTTGCGGCCCTTGGCGGGGCCCCCCACTCCACTTCCTGCCGTCTCCCGCAGATTTGGCCCCTCACGGACGGTTGCTTCCGTCAATCCTCATGGCCAGGAGCCCCGGCCAGCTCCGGCAGCAGCACCGAGCTCCTCGTGCCGCAGATATTACCTCCCTTGACCTGCCGTGATTTTTTTTCTTTTTGGGTCCCACCCGGCGATGCTCAGGGCCGACTCCTGGCTCTGCACTCAGGAATCCCTCCTGGCGGTGCTCGGGGGACCCTAGGGGATGCCGGGGATCAAACCTGGGTCTGCTACGGGCCCAACCAATGCCCTATCACTCCTGCCCATGTCTGTCTGTCTGTGTGTCTCTCTCTGTCACACCCGGCAATGCTCAGGGCCGACTCCTGGCTCTGCACTCAGGAATCACTCCTGGCGGTGCTCGGGGGACCCTAGGGGATGCCGGGGATCGAACCCGGGCCTCCCGCGTGCAGGGCCAGCGCCCTCCCCGCTGTCTTCCTGCTCTGGCCCGAGAGGAGCATTTCTCAACCACTGGGTCCCCCGTGAGCCCCCGGATGGTCCTGCAGTGGACACAGGTGAGAAGAGCATCAGTGCGAGGAACCGAGACCGGAGCCCGGAAAGGAAACGGGCAGAGCGGGGCGCGGCGTGAGCTCAGCCTGGAGAAGCCGCCGCCACGTCCCCCCCTGGGCCCGGCACCTCCCCCTGAACAGGCTTCCCGCGACCCCGCGGGGCAGGACACGGGCGACGCGTGTGCGCGGTGACAAGCCTCCTTCTGGTGTCTGTCGTCCGTCCTGCGCCTCCTCGGAGTCACCTGGGCCCCGGAGCAGAAGGCCGGCTCCGCACCCGCCGGGTGCCAGAGGAGGTGTTAATGAAGAGCCGAGGGCGGACGCGAGCACAGGTGGCGGCGGGGCGGGCAGAGACCCCCGCGCCTCTCATCCGCGCGCTGAGGTCACCTCCACGCCTGGCTCGTCACGGGGACGGACGCTCTTGGGCTCTGAGTGGGAATAAAAGGGTGACGGATGTAGGGTCTGCCTGGAGTGGGGGCCAAGGGAAAGGGAAGAACTTTCCAGAACCTTCTAGAGCCTTCCAGAACCTTCTAGAGCCTTCCAGAACCTTCTAGAGCCTTCCAGAACCTTTAAGTTTCTCAGCAGGAGCCTCCTGGGCCCACAGAGCTGGCCTGGCAGGGGGAGAAACTCTTGTCCCAGGTCTGCTGAGGCAAGAAAGCTGGGGATAAAGGGGACATGGCCATCTGTGTCCAGATCAGCCCCTGGGGGACCCCCCAGGTCACCCGCATCCAGCACCAGCTTTGGAGAACACCCCCCACCCATTGCAGCCCAGGCTCCGGCGTCACTTAGCTGGGACCCAGTGCTGGGCTGACACCCCATGCCCCCCGGGGACCCCAGAGCCCTCCAGGACGCAGCCCGAGTCGGGAGGGCAGGGTGGTCTCTGGGGCTGGCTGGGGGCCGGGCAGGGGTAGCCCCACACGGGTTCCTGTGTCTCTGCCCGCGAGGCTGGAGGGAATGTTCCGGCTCTGAGAACTTTGCTCCTCCCGGAAGATTGGCGGGTGGTCTTGGGGGTCGCTGCCTCCACAGAGGTGCCGGGGGGTCCCTGCTGACTCGGGGCCGGGAGCCTCCACCCACAGGGCCAGCAGTGGGCAGGGACACACCTTGCCCTGCCCTGGGCTGTGGCTGGGCCTCCCGCTGTACTCAGCACTGCCGGCTCATTCTGGGGCTCCTGCGGTCACGCCTGTGGTCACGCCTGTGGTCACGCCTGTGGTCACGCCTGTGGTCATGCCTGTGGTCATGCCTGTGGTCACGCCTGTGGTCACGCCTGTGGTCATGCCTGCGACCACACCTGCAACCACGCCTGCGGCCACACCCGCAGCCATGCCCGCGGTCACGCCTGTGGGTCACACCCATGGTCACACCTGTGGTCCAGCCCCAAGCGCTGCCTTCCTGACCATGGGGGAACAGCCCAGCTCACCCCGAGTCCTGAGGCCGGAGCAGGTGGGGAGAGGCGTGGCAGGGTGAGGCCAGCGGAGGGGTGGGGGGTGTCGTGGGTCGGCCACTGTTCCGGAACTGGGTGACTGATCCCGGCGGGACGTGCGGGGGCCCGTCCTCCCGTGCCCAAGCCCAGCTGCCCAGGTGGCCGGACCGTCCCCGCACGGTTCAGGAGTTGGAGCCCACAGAGCCCCGTGTCCTTCCTGAGGGCTAGTCCGGGCCGTGGAGTGCACGTGCCCCCGCCCCCCGCTGCCTCCCGGGACACAGAGCCACGAGCTGCCCGGCTGGGTGTCTTGTCCACCCTGGGCCGGGCACCAGGGACTCAGCGCCGTTTCCGCTGCCTGCAGGCAAGAGTGAGGACGAGGAGAGTCTGTGCAAGGCGGCGCACGGGGCCGGGAAGGGCGAGGACAACAAGGACCACAAACGCCCCAAGCGCCCTCGCACCATCCTGACCACCCAGCAGCGCAGGGCCTTCAAGGCCTCCTTCGAAGTGTCCTCCAAGCCTTGCAGAAAGGTAACGGGGCCGGGGAGGGCCGGGCCCAGCACCGAGGCCGGTGTCCACTGGGCCCCCCAGAATCCTCCGTCCATCCCTCTGTGTGCAGGGAGGTTCCTCTGGGCTGGCTGGGTGAGTGTTCTGTGTCATTGGGGAAGCAGCGCTGCCGTGCCAGTGTCCTGGGGTCAGCGCACTGTGTCCGCAGGTGCGGGAGACCCTGGCGGCGGAGACAGGGCTGAGCGTCCGCGTGGTGCAGGTCTGGTTCCAGAACCAGCGGGCCAAGGTACAGTCGGGGGTCGGTGGGGGTCAGCCAATCGTACCCCCTCCCTGCCCTGCTCCCCAAACCCGCCCTCTGACCTCTGACCCGGGCCACATCTCTCCCGTCAGATGAAGAAACTGGCCCGCCGGCAGCAGCAGCAGCAGCAGGACCAGCAGAGCGCCCCTAGGCTGACCACTGGTGAGTCCCGGACCCCCGCCTGCCCGGGTACCAGCTCCTGGGGGACTCAGGCCTGAGGGAGACGGAGTGGGGGACGGGCCGTGTTTTTGGAGTGTTTTGGGGTTCTTGGGGGAAGAAAGAAAGAGAACGGACGAAAATAAGTGTGTCAGCTAAGATAACGGGGGTGAGGGGGTCTGCCCCGAGACCTGGACACGACCCGCTGCCCCTTCCTGCCACCCCCGGGCCTGGACACGCGGCTTCCGGCCTTCACTGGACAGACGGCCCGGGAGGCCCCTCACCCCTGCCCCGCCCTGCCGTGGGAGAGGGGTTGTGGCGTCTGACCCAGCCGTGTGTGTCCCGCAGCTCCGGCCAGCGGCGCGGGCAGCGGGGGCCCCGGGATGGACGGAGTCATGAACCCCTACACGGCACTGCCCACACCGCAGCAGCTCCTGGCCCTGGAGCAGAGCGTCTACAGCGCCGACCCCTTCCGGCAGGGCCTCACGCCGCCCCAGATGCCCGGGGACCACATGCACCCCTACGGTAAGAGACCCCCGCGCGGCCCCCCGGCCCCACCCGACGCTTTGCTTTGATTGTATTTATTTTTTGCTTTGTGGGTCCCACCTGAGATGCTCAGGGGTTCCTCCTGGCTCTGCACTCAGGGATCACTCCTGGCAGTGCTCAGTGACCCTATGGGATGCCGGGCATCGAACCCGGGTTGGCCGCGTGCAAGGCAAACGCCCTCCCCGCTGTGCTATCGCTCCAGCCCCTCTGGCTTTGTTTTGATCAGCTGTTGGGCGGCCACTCCTGGCTCTGTCCTTTGGGGTGGTCAGTGCTGGCCAGGTGGGGAGGTAGGTGCCATCGGGATGGACACGTCCCCGGCCCTGGGACACATCAGGGTGTCCGCGGCCCTGGGGGGACACACCCATGTCGTGCGTCCTCTCCCAGACCGCCCCCCCCCGGGGCAGCTCTGAGCCTGCCCACTCCAGCTATTCAGACGTCCTCCGGGCACCTGCCCCTTCAGCAGTCAGTGCTTTTGTGAGAGTGCTCCCCCCACAGTGCTCAGGGATGTTCCCCATCCCGGCTTGCAGCTCTGTGCCCAGTCCTTCTGTGCTGGGGTTGACCTCGTGTCCCCTGGCGTGCGTGGACCCCTGACCCGGTACACCCCAATTCTGGTGGTAGCCCCGTCACTGCGTGGACGTCGTGTGTGTGCATGTGTGTGTGGGTACGTGTGCGTGTGTGTGTGTCTGTGTGTGTGTCCGGGCCTCAGGACTGGCTCCTGTCTCCGCTCCAGGTGCTGACCCTCTGTTCCACGACCTGGACAGCGACGAGGCGTCCCTCAGTAACCTGGGCGACTGCTTCCTCGCTGCCACCTCGGACGCCGGGCCCCTGCAGGCGCGCGTGGGGAACCCCATCGACCACCTCTACTCCATGCAGAACTCCTACTTCACTTCCTGAGCGGACCCGCCCCACCCCAGCCCTCTCGGGGATGCTGAGGGGGCGGGGGGGACACGTCAGGGCTTGGGCGGGCTCGGGGGGGGGGCGGGGGCGAGTGAGGGCACCGACCCCCTCCCTCATACGTCCAAGTGCCCGGCCCAGACTGGCCGGCCCGCGGCCCAGATCCGACCGATCCTTAGCGTTAGGTAGATGAGTTTTCTGGCAGGACTTGAATCCAGACCCGCCCCGTCCCGCATCGCGGTCCAGCCGCTCCGATGAGGCCCCTCCGTTTCCGGGAGGGGGGGGCGCTGGACCCAAGAGGTGCGTTGTCCTCCCCGGAGCCCTAGACAGACAGACAGACAGACAGACAGACGGCTTGAGCTCGCAGCCTGGCCGAGCTGCCCGTGACCCCCGACCCTCCCTCCCCGCCCCCCACGCCGCGCCCCTGCATAGCCGCCAGTTGTACAGCAGAACCGACTTTTATTTTCGGTGTGAACTCTATTTAAGGAACCGCCCGATGCTCTTAAGTTATAAAAAGGAGATGATTTACTTTTACAAACGTGATTGTTCCTGGCGCCGGGTGTGTGTGTGTGTGTGTGTGTGTGTGTGTGTGTGTGTGTGTGTGTGTCTTGTCCCCGAGGTCCGCGGTGGTGGCGGCTGACCACACGTGCTGGTGGGGTTCTTGCCCTTGATTCTTGCACCCAGATTCTTGCCCTCTCTGTGCGGGACCCGGGAGGGACATCCCGGTCCCCAGCGACCCCGTTGCACCCTCAGAGAACAGACCCCGGGACCCGTGGGAAGGGGCTGGCCAGGCCTCAGGGTGGGCGGTGGGCTTTGGGGGGTCCACACTGAGGCTGCCAACCATGAGGGAGGCTTGGGCATTCCAGAAGGGTCACTCAGAGAGATGGTGACGCCCACCTCGGGTCTCCCTGTGGGGCATGGCCGGGGCCATCCCAGTCCGTCTGCGTGGACTTGGCGTCCACGCCAGACTCCTTGGGTGCTGGGCGGTGTCCCCAGGGACACAGATGGGGGGATGCCGTTGGGGTCTCCGGTGCCCCTGGACAGCCCTCGGGGTTCTGTGAGGCCCCTGGTGGGCGGTGCTAGGTGGGGTCTTTTTCGGGGTCCTCTGAAGCTCCGTGGTGGTGGTCCTTTATCTCCAAGAAGACATTATAGACCCTCACCGCTCAGCCACCGTGTATTGGGGGGCAGGAGAGGGCTTGCGGGGGTGCAGGGGGGCTTGTGGGAAGGGGGAGGGTGACCGGCAGGTCAGAGCCATCACCCCATTGTGGGGGTCCCCACTGTCCCCCCCCAGGAAGCACACAGTTTGCAGCTCACCCAGGGTCCCCCGAGCATTTGCCTGAGAGCCCCCGGTGACCAGAAGCCAGAGGAGTAAAGCGGGGGGGCGGGAGAAGACCCCCGAACCACCCAGGGCTCGGGCAGATGCGCGGGGTGGGCGCGACTCCCCCAGAGCGGCCATGGTCTCTGCCCCTGAGACATTTGCCAGTTCCTGGCCGAGTCAGCCCCAGAGACCCGGGGCGCATGCCCGGCCATGGAACCCACTGGAAACTGCTCAGGGGGTCCCGAAGCCATTTGGGGGGACAGCCCTGAGCCCTTACAGTCCTGTCCACGCTGCAGGGACTCTGCATCCAGCATGTGCGGGGCCCCACCTGCGCCCGAGCACTGCTCTCCGAGTCCCCTGCGCTGGGAAGGATCCGAGCTGGTCACTGCTCCCTCCTGCCCCGAGGGGGGACGAGGCGGGCCGTGCTGATCCCCCTGTGTGTGATGGGGGCCGAGGGGTGCCCCCTGGAGCAGGGGGACGTCCTGACGCCCTGGGGCTGTGGAAATAGGCAGCTCAGCGGCCCCCAAGCCAGGTGAGGGCACGGGAGGCGGAGGGGGGCGGGGCGTGACCTGGCAGAGGCGGGAGAAGGTTCTGGCCAGGCCAGGCCTCTCCCCGAATGTCACCTTAGGAAGACCCCCACCCCCCGCCCCCCAACGGGCAGCCAAGGCCGCGGCTTCTCCGTCAGCGCCTGCTTATTAGGGCGGGCGGCCGCTCTCCGCTTCCGCGTGCCGATAACATCGACGGCACCCGCGACTCGCTGGGTCCCTGGAGGTCGGGCTCGGACTGGCGGTCAGGGGGACACGGGGCAGGGCCCCCCCCAGGGCCCCAGCGGCTTGCTGAGTTGCGGGGGTCTGCTAGCTGCTTGCACCCCACTGGCCTACACGCTCCCATTCGAAAACCTCAGAGACTGGGGGGGGTTGTTGCACACGCGTGTGCGGGTGTGTCTCTGGGCTCTGCAGGGCAAACCAGCTCAGAGGAGGTTCCGGAGCTGGTCGGGATTAGCCGGATTTCTGAGCATGTCCCCGTCTGCCTCTGCTTCCCACCCCCCACGCGCACAGAGCCTGTGAGAACACACACACGTGGTCAGTGGTACATGCGTGCAGAGACATCAGCCCTGCACCCATGTGGTCAGTGGTGCATGCATGCAGAAATAGCCACGTGTACATGTGGTCCGTGGCACATTTATGCAGAAACAGCCATGTGTATATGTGGTCTGTGGTACATGCACACAGAAACAGCCATGTGTACACGTGGTCCATGGTGCATGCATGCAGAAATAGCCACGTGTACATGTGGTCATGGTACATGCACGCAGAAACAGCCATGTGTACACGTGGTCCATGGTGCATGCATGCAGAAATAGCCACGTGTACACGTGGGCCTTGGTACATGCACACAGAAACAGCCACGTGCACACGTGATCATGGTACATGCATGCAGAAACAGCCACGTATACACGTGATCATGGTACGTGCACGCAGAAACAGCCACGTGTACATGTGGGCCTTGGTACATGCACACAGAAACAGCCACGTGTACACGTGGTCCGTGGTACATGTATGCAGAAACAGCCACGTGTACATATGGTCCATGGCACATGCACAGAGAAACAGCCACGTGTACACATGATCCATGGTACATGCACACAGAAACAGCCATGTGTACATGTGGTCCGTGGCACACGCACAGAGAAACAGCCATGTGTATATGTGGTCCGTGGCACATGCGTGGAGAGACATCAGCCACAAGCACATGAGGTCCATGGTACATTCGTGCAAAGCCATCGGCCACGAGCACATGCAGTTCACGCATGCTAAGGCATCAGCCACATGCATATGTAGTATGTGATACGTATCAATGAGGTCCGTGGTACATGCATACAAAGACGTCAGCCGTGTGCACATGCTGTCTGCGAGAACACACGTGCAGAAATATCAGCGATGGGCACCTGTGGTCCGTGATGCTCGCCACTGGAGAGTCCACGGCGTGTGAGGAGACACTGGAGCGCGGGAGCGTCTGGGGAGAGGCTCCCTCCAGGGCCCCGAGCTGAGGAGGGGGCTCTGCTCCACGGGCCTGCAGGAAGGGGTGCAGGACGAGCAAACGCTTCTCCCGGCGCCCGGCGACTGCGTGGTCGGAGCAGAGTGGGGGCCGGGAGGAGGTGGGGGCAGGGCGCCTGCGGGGCTTCCCCTTCTGGATCTCATCTGCGATGGGACACAGACGCGATGGCTGGAGCGGGAGCAGCCACGTGGCACCTTGCGCTTGCAGGGGTGAAGCCGGGAGAGGGGAGAGGCGGCCGCTGGCTGCGGGTCTGGGGGCTGAGCGGCCCCTCCTCCGGGCGCCCGAGCACAGAAGAGACACAGTGTCTTTCTCTTCCGAAGCTGCCACGATTGACCCAAGTCCCACACAGAAGCCTCCATCCCTTCCTCATCTAAGTCACCCTGACCCTGTGTCCGGGTGGGGGTCCACGGGGGGCAGGGGGTGCTGGCCGCGTCCCCCACAGCGGGGGCTAGCGAGGGTCCGGGAGGCGCAGGGCTTGGAGCTGGTTCTGCTGCTGCAGGAATCGGGGTTCGTGGGGCTGGCCGGCACCCCCCACCCCGCGGGACCCTGTGGGCTGGGCACGCGGTGCCTGCCCCTGCCCTGTGGTCAGACGCCCCAGCTCCCTCCTGCATGGTGTGTTGGGTGGGGGGCTGCGGCAAGGACACGCCTCCCGCCAGCCTGCCCCTCCCCCCAGGCCGCTGCTGGGCCCCCCTGGGCCCCTCCCAGCCAATGCCCAAGGGCTCCAGTGCTCCTTCCCGGCGGGGGCGGGGGGGGGGAGCAGTTCTTCATGCTCCTTCCAGGGGTCCCAGGTCCTCATGCTCCTTCCTGGGAGTGCCCAGTTCCTCAGGCTCCTTCCCGGGGGGACCCAGTTCCTCTGGCTCCTTCCAGGGGACCCATTTCCTCATGCTCCTTCTCAGGGGACCCAGTTTTTCAGGCTCCTTCCCAGGGGACCCAGTTCCTCATGCTCCTTCCCAGGGGGCCCAGTTCCTCAGGCTCCTTCCTGGGGGGCCAAGTTCCTCAGGCTCCTTCCCGGGGGTCCAGTTCCTCAGGCTCCTTCCCGGGGGGCCCAGTTCCTCATACTCCTCCCTGGGGGGGGCCCAGTTCCTCAGGCTCCTTCCTGAGGGGGGCCCAGTTCCTCATGCTCCTTCCCGGGGGGCCCAGTTCCTCAGGCTCCTTTCCGGGGGGACCCAGTTCCTCTGGCTCCTTCCCGGGGACCCATTTCCTCATGCTCCTTCTCAGGGGACCCAGTTTTTCAGGCTCCTTCCCAGGGGACCCAGTTCCTCATGCTCCTTCCCAGGGGGCCCAGTTCCTCAGGCTCCTTCCTGGGGGGCCAAGTTCCTCATGCTCCTTCCCGGGGGGCCCAGTTCCTCAGGCTCCCTCCCGGGGGTCCAGTTCCTCAGGTTCCCTCCCATGGGGCCCAGTTCCTTGTGCTCCTTCCTGGGGGACCCAGTTCCTCGGAGCCGGGCGGGTGCTGGGGTTACTGTGCTGAGCCACCCCCCCCCCGCACACAGCCCCTTGCAGGGACCCTGCCGGAAAGGGCGGACGCAAGTGTGGCCCGCCCTATGCCCTGACCTCTGGCTGCAGGCCGGACACCACTGGAATGACCTCCTGACCTTTGAGCCTGCAGCCAGGGCGGAGCTGAGCT